CACTGCCTTCCCACCCTCACTGCCCTCCCACACTGTAACACACCCTGTCCCCCCACACTGTCACCATCCTCCTCACTATCACCCACTCACACCCTGCCCCCGAAACTGTCACATTCCTCCACACTGCTCCCTCACCCTGTTACCCTTTCACATACTTGCACCCCATTTTGTCAGCCCCCAACACTATGTCACCAATACATACAGTCATCCCTCCCACACACTGCCCCTGCACACACTCTCACTGTTTCCAACACTTCCTCCCTCACTCTCACCTACCCACCGTCACAATTCCACACACATACTGTCACCCCCCACATGCTGTCATGCCTTCTTCACCCAGCCTCGCTCACATTAACCTCTCCTAATCTTGTCGCTCTCACCCCTCCATCCATACCACAATTACCAGCCCTCGCTCTTCCACACTCACCCTATCAAACTCATCTTCTCTCATACTGTCACACTCACCCCCAACCCTTTCACATTAACCCTTTCACTTGTGCCCAACCATGCCACACTCACCCTGTCACATAATCCTGTCCGACTCACTTTCCCTCGCCTTGTCACACTTCCTCCTCCAGCCGTGTAACACATAACCCCAATCCTGTCAAACTCATCCCCCTTCACCCTATCACATTAACTTCTATCCTGTCACTCATCCTGCCACGCCACGCCACACTCACCCTGTCACATAACCCTCCCTCATCCTGTCACTCTCACCTCCCCTCGCCCTGTCACACTTTCTCCTTCAACCGTGCCACACTCACCCCAACACTGAATACAGAGACTAGCTCTCTGTATCCAGCACCGCAAGCCTGTCATTCAATATAACAGCAGCTCATTATACACACGATCCAACCCCTATATGTTTTTTACTATGAGTATTAGTGGGGGGGCCTCTTGTTTGAGTTTCGCCTAAGGCCTCATAAAGTCTAGAGCCGCCACTGTCCAGAAAGTAGTAGGATTCTCAGTGTAATTATCCCCATGTTTAATATCATGGTGTGACTGTTCTCATCCAATATTATCTGCTTGTTCCAGTATGATATCTGGAAGATATGCCTTTATCAAGGTTCTGATTTGATGTCATCCATTGGTTTTAAATTTATATCAGAAAAGAACATTATTTTTTTTTTTATTCCATCACAAGATGGGTTCCTTATTGCTTACGAGTGTTTGTCTAGCCTTGTTCCTTCTCTAGGTTTGGCTGTCATGGCCTTAATTCCTATCTGGCCTTTCAAGGATATTTCAGATACTGAATGCCAGGAGGTTGCAGACCTTGCAGCCGCTAGGGTAAATTACCTTGTCTGAACAGATTTATAACAATATCCTATTGATTACTGGTTTGGCTTTTTTTTAAAGTCTTCTAAGGTTTATGCAGCTCAATAATGGTTTTATAACTATTAGCTGTTTTTGAACTCTGTCCCTCCCTCTATATATTAAGCTTGGGTATTACCCATAAATGCTGTAAATGCTGCCATGAATAATGGGTCAGGAAAAAGGACCGTAATTTTATTTTCCTGATAATTTATGTTCCCACCCATTTACTATAAGAGTTGTGAAAGTAGATAACAATGACAGCCTGATGGGAAGCGGGAGGATCTATTTATACCAGTTTCAGAGTTCTATTTCCTGTCCTTTCTGCCGTGAGGGGAGGAGCTAACCCATGAGTAAATGCTGCCACGAATAATGATCAGGAAAAAAAATTTACGGTAAGTATGAAGCAAATTTTCCTTTTTAATTTCTCCTCTTCTCTATAAGCTCTCTCTATGCTGACTGTCAGGTGCAAAGGACAGAGCATAAAACAATGACTGACAGGGAGCGAAGATGGAAGCACCCAGTTGTAGGACAAAGAAGTGTGTATTTCTACATTTAATTACATTTTTCACATCAAACAAATGCGTAATTGTCAGATGTAGGGACCAGTGAATATAATATAAAAAAAACCATTTGAAGTGACAATATCCCTTTTAAATTGTAACGTTCATTTTGGATTAATGTTCTCTATACCTCGGCACGGTCAAAAAAGACTGTTTTATTGGAAAGAGTCCATATTGATCTGTGCTTACTGAGTATTGGAGCAGAGTGGTTTGCTGGCAGTATTAAAGGATATGTTATGTTGTCAGAGAAACCCACTGGTTGTGATCCAAGACATTGCTGTTTGTTTTATAGGTGACAGAAATAACTTTTAAGCAGCGAAGTACCTAGAACTCACCATTCGTGGTAATACTTTAGCACGAACAAAGAAGGAAAAAGAGCATTTATGTGCAGTAACGAGGCCCTGGGAGATCTGAATGACTCAACCGATTGTCATAAGGACCAAGGCTGGCTGTAGGCAATTCACAAGGAGGAAAGGACGATGGCCAGTTGTAGGCATTGTATGAAGAGAAAAGTACCAGTGCCGGACGCAGGAAGTTAAGTGTATGAAGAGGAAAGGACCACAGCCGGTTGTACACAGTATATGAAGAGAAAATGACCACAGCCAGTTGTACACAGTGTATGAAGAGGAGAGGGTCATGACTGGTTGTATGCAATGTATAATTAGGAAAGGATTGCTGTTGACTGCAGGCATTGTATACGGAACTGGTCGTGGCCAGCTGTAGGCAGTGTATGAGGAAGATAGGTTTACGGCTGGCTGTAGGCAAAGCATTAAGAGGAAAGCCAGAGGCCAAGAACAAGGAAGCATTTCTTGGAAACGTAATGAGATTTACTCCATACAAGTCAACTATAGGAGTCACTAATAAACCAGCAATACATGCAACTCTCCTGGGGCTCAGCAAGCGAGGCCTGAGCATTTTCCTTATTTGTTCTCATGCACTTTCCGGGACCCCAGATATTCAACTGGAATCAGAGATGATCTATCTCTGCACATAGTGTGCCATAGTGCAGGGAGAAACGAGTGTTCTAATGATACATTCTCTCTCTTCCTTCAGTACCAAGGATGCAACACACCCATGCCACACGAAAAGGTAGGGAAGTGGCGGTCATATAAAATAAATAGGTACAGAGTTTAGTTTTGTTTCTTTTTATTTCAATATAACTATTTTAAACTACATTTAACGTTGATGAAGTATGATCACCTGCCTTAGGTAAAATAATGGGGGTTTAGTTACCAAGTATGATCACACATTACATAAAGCTGCCACAGCATCAATTTTCCCAATTTTTGGCAGGTCTTAACCTAACGACTGCTCTTATGAGATTAATCTAATCCATGAGATTTCCATTCCGTGAGACTCTTAATGCAAATCAAAGTTGCATCATGGTCCTGCTATAGAGCACCTGAGACAGGGAGGGGTGGTATAACCCGATGTTGGCCAAACCTCCAAAATAATAAAAAAAGAAAGTCGGTACTTGAACGTGTATGTGACATAAGGATGCTGCGGGGACTAATGGAAAAACCACACAAAACACAGCACTTGCTATTCTAAACTAGTGTGTACAGTCCATAAAACCAAACACTCATCTTAGGTAACATATAGGTCAAATAGATTAGTTCAGGGGTAAGCAACCTTCGGCAGTGGTGCAGACTGCATCTCCCACAATGCCCTTACGGTCCTAATGCTGGCAAAGTATCAGGGGAGATGTGGTCCACAACATCTGGAGTTCCAAATGTTGTATACCCCTGGATTAGATATTTGAATAGTCACACTGGATGGGTAGACAGAAATATACACACGTCAAACCAGACTTGTGCAAAGAGATATGAAAGCTGTAAGAGAAAAGCTCTATTCAGGCGAGATAAAATATACTATCTATAAACATGGTAGAAGGTTAGTACAGGCAGTAGACAAACCGATACAAAATTACACAAGCAGAGTCTGGGGAACCAGAAAACTCACAGCATGACATGTCACAACAGAGCACTTGATTTATACAGAACCATGTAGGAAGCCAGAAGCTAGGATGACGACATGCTAAATAGACAGCTGTGTTCAAATGCCTGTTTATGCATGATATAAATCCATAGATAGAGACATAAACAGAGGAAGACCTGCTTCTGTGCGCTACAAATCTGTAAGCAAAAAGCATAGACAAAAAAAAAAAAAAAGATAAGGGGAGCTAAGAAAGAAGTGTAGCTCACATTTATAGCCCATTCCAGTACATCACTGGCCATATGTTACCTGATGGCGTGGTGGTATGTGCAAATTGCACACTTTCTTGCTCATCTTAAAGAAGACATGCATCGATTATTTTTTTAAACCAGCAAGTAAACCCTTTTAAACAAATATACAAACCAAAATAAAGCAAAAAAAAACAAAACAAAAAAAAACTTTGAAACTTATGTAATAAAGGATTATAAACTTACAATAAACTTGGTCAGAGTTCATTGTTGAGCACACCTCCCAGCTAGGCGAGATTCTTCAGGAAGCTCACACACAGTTCAGGTATTTACCTTAGACAATGGGGTAGTATTCTAGGGTAGATTTTAGTAGGGTATCCGGGCTGCTGTACTTTCCACCTCCCCGGTCCGCAGGCACTGTGCTGACAGCTGGCGGGGGAGTGAGAGAGGACCCGGGAGCTCAGCCTGCAGCTCCTCCGGGTCCTCCTCTCGCGAGCACGGAGCATTGCCACGGTTACCACGGCAACGCTCCAGATCTTGCGAGAGTGAACTCTAGCCCTGGAGCGTGAGCTAGAGTTCACTCTCCCCACTGGGACAACCAGGGAACCCCCACCGGACCACCAGGGACTAAGAAGTGTCCCAGTAAAGGTAAGACAGGAGGGGGGACATAAATATTTATTTTAATTACATAAAAATTATATATTATAAAAAAAAGCCCCTCTACCCTTATCACACACACACACTCTACACACATACACTTCCCCCCATACTGCCCCCCATACACACACACTGTCCCCCATACACACATACTGTACAAGTATCATTAAAAAAAAAAAGACAATTTAAAGGATAGATTGTCTTTAAATACAGAATGTTAAATAAATGGTACATACTGGATTGCTCAACTAGATTAAAAGAATATGTCTGAAAACTGGAAATTAATAGCCACCTTTAACCGCGAACTCATTCCTCACTCGGGGTCAATAATTAAGGCATCAAAGATAAATTAAGTTAACTAGGAGTCCAAATAAGTTGCAGAAGATACATATGGTAAACACATGAATGGGTTTAAAACAGATATTTCAAAGTAAAATAAAACCTCAAATGTATTTCTACTTATATAATTTTATTTTCCTGGTCACAGGCCATAGCTGCCCAAAAATGGGTAGCTCCTCCCTATCCTTAGACAGGAACCTAATAAAAAAGAAAAGGTAAAAAATACCCCCTCCTATCCCTGCAACCCTCAGTTTTGTTTCCAGCAAAATCCCTGGGCAGGATCATTGTGCCAGGAAACGAAAATTACGGTAAGTAGGAATACACTTTTTGTTTTTCTAGCTGTATCCACGGCAGCACAACAATGGGTAATACCCAATTAATAACCAAGGGATGGAAAAGAAACACACAGACTCAAAATTACCGAATGTAAGTGTATTAACAGAAAGTGACAAACCAACTGCAAACAAATGAAAAAATAAGATGCAGAGAGAACACGCTTGCCAAAATTATCAAATTGGCATGGTCTGACACCCATGTAACTACTCTGCATATCAGTTCTGGAGATACTTTAGCTGCGCGGGCACAGAGGATGAATGAGTTTTTAGTCCACTAGGATTATGGACTCCTGAGGCCTAGTAAGTCTTTATGAAGGCAAAAACAATTCATCTGCTGATGGCCTCAGAGTTTTAAAGAACATTTTTAGCCCCATTAGGGATATTGAATGGTCTTTGTGACTTACTCCAGTTAGATGATCTGTCAATGTATATCATTAAACAACTCAAGAGTTAAACATCCCATCTTCTTTCTCCTCTTCTTGTGAATAGAATGTAAGAATGGAAGTACAATTTCTATGTTAATATCGAGAGTAGAGGAAACCTTGTGAAAAAACTCAGAAGCAGTTCTAAAAATAACCCTATCTTCATAAAAGACTTAGAAGATAATGCCTGAAGTTCCAAACCTCTCCTACCAGAAGCCAACGACACTAGCAATGATATTTAATGGTGAGAAAATGTCTATACAGGAAAATAAAGTTGAGGGGCTCAAATATGTGCCTGTCCAAAACTGTTACGCTTATGGTCAGTGCAAAATGGAAAAGTACTGCTCTGGACTGAAAGGAAGGGCAGACATGACTGCTGCCCAGTAGTAAGGGGGGTGGAGGTCCAGTGGTGGCATGATAACTTCAGCCTGCAGCTCCACTGGCTGCAGACTGACTGCTCTCCACTCTCGAGCTCTGTGGAGCGTTGCCATGGTAACATGCGGCAACGCTCCACACATCCTGCTCGCGGGAGGAACTGCCATTCGGGTCCTCCCTCTCCTGCACGAAGTGCCCGATGAGGGAGATCTTTGATCTCCCCTAAGGCCTGGAAGGCAGATAGCAGGGACGGCTTTGTGTGGGCCGGCAGGGGAGATGAAAGGATCTCGCCTGTCGACCTTTGCACATGTGCAACGTGGTGGCACCCCTATGCAATTGCCCAGCGTGCCCATGCGTAAAGACAGCCCTGTTACTGTCTAATTAGGGAAAGGGAGCATATGGCCAGTAAAGATATTTTACACAGCTACTCATCTTAAAGGGACACTGTAGGCACCCAGACCACTTCAGCTCATTGGGCTGGTGAAAGGATTTTTGGTACATAGGCTAAGATGCATTCCCCACCCCCTCCTCTAAAAATAACATTTTCACCTGTGTGCCTCTTAACCTCCCTTTTGTGTTTCTTACCATCTCTTTTAAA